GCGGAGAAACAATAATGTACAGTATGTGGAAAATAATGTGTTTTTTGAACCTTAAACTGCATAAACACATTTCATTACACTAAATACACAAAATACTGTTCTTTTTAGCAGCATCATATGACCCCTTTAAACCAATGTAATCTAAATTTGATTCAGTTAAAAGTATATTAACCTGATCTAACTTTTGCATCAAATTCCTAATGTTTAAGTGTCCACCTAAAATTCCTTTTGGTTTAGATTGGATGTTCCACGCGACTTTTGCATGATTTACAGTCTGAAAAAGCAGATGACTTTTTTGCTTCGTCAATGTGCTGCATTCATCCGTAACTGCCCTTAGCTCCCAATCAGCTTGTTTAAATGACTGAGCTCTCCTGCAAGCTCTTTTCTTCTTTCGGCGGCGAATCAAACCCGCATGTTTACCTCTTTTCACATCAGGCTCGCCTAGTCCATTACAGCCATGATCCAGTTCGTCTCCTGTGCCTGGCTCGTCTCAATTCGTCTTCAATACCACGATGCTCCCTGCGAGCTCCTCTCACCCCTCGCAAATCCTGCCGGAGCACTCTGATGTCCTCGCCACCGGTCTCCACGTGCCCATCGAAACCCAGATGTCATCCCCGCAGAAAACATCCACCTCCACTGTCAAGCCCAGCTGCATCTCATCTATGCTCTCCCAAAGCAAACCACGCAGATCAAGGCCCTCATTATCACCAGCACTCTCCTCCGGAGCCATCCCAGTGAGATCCCCCGCACCCGGGATAAATGGATCATCCATAGGGCTGGTAGATACAGTTGAAAATGTCGTCAAAGTCATATCCCTTGTGTTATTGTCCACAATAGGTCCAGGGTTCAAATGTATGTCGACCGCTAACAACAATAAAATAATTAAAGTGTGCAATTTATAACCCTTGCACTTGTTGTTACTAATATCAATTCCTTGTTTGGTGCAGGGTTTTTTGTTGTATTGACCCCATGATTTTTGTCCAAACTTAAAATATAAAACGTAATTGTCCATATCCACAAAAATACAGCTTGCTTTGTTCTGTTAATCCGAACCATGCATCAGGTGATGAAACTCCAGGTGATATTAATGATGCATAGTTGGATACTACCAACACCATACAGCAACACATCAAAAAGCAGATCAGTTGTTTACGAAAATCCTTTCCCGTCAAACATTTTCTTGCTGCATTCTCTACCAATCCAATTTCCTTATTAAAGGGCTTGAATAAAAAGATAATTTAATATAAATTTACCAGGGGAGTGGAGCCTAACCAACCACTCAGTCCCTTGGCAGCCATCTTGCTTGTCTAGAACTGAACCTCGGAGCAGAGGAAAAAGGTCGCCAGGTTCAATGAGTCCCAATTTCCCGTGTATGTGTGTGCCATTTACCTGGGGAAGAGATGGCAGCAGAATGCACTGTGGGACACCGATGGAGGGAGTGTGTACTCTGGGCAATGTTCAGCTCTGAAATGTGGATGTGTTACTACACTGCACACATTGTTTGGGAATGATCTGAAGAACATAATGAAGGGTTCAAGGTGTTGTTCTGATCTCCAATTGAATCCAAATGAATATCTGTGGGTTCTACTGGATGGCAATCGAGGCAGCTCCACCTCTCAACCTACAGGACTTGAAGGATCTGCTGCTAATGTCTTGGTACCAGATAGCATAGTAATCCATACCATACTCTTACAGAGTCCATGCCTCAACGGGTCGACACCGTTTTGGCAGCATGCAACCTTTTCCCTTTTTTGTGTTTGGGGAATGGCTTCTGAGGAACTCTGATGACACAGCTGCAACATGCCTGATGTGATGAAATGGTAAGATTTAAAAGTGTTTACCATATTTCCTGCAGAATTTTTATAATGCATTATGCATTCATTATAATGCCTTAAGAATACCCTTATAATGTATTATAAATACGGGCTTCATAGAAAGTGTTACCCAGAAGTCTTCTAACCTCCGTCAGTCAAGTAATTTGTATATCAAGCAGACAGGAAAAAAAAAAGAGTCACTAATAAATTAATATATTTTCCACAAAAGATATGTCCTGCAACCCATCTCCAGGAGGCTGCCTGGATCCTGTCAAGTTACTTTGAAAATAACTGTGTCGCAGTCAATAACAACATAAGTGAAAGAGAAAATTATATTTCTCAATTGCACAAATCCTTCATTAGAACATTTGAAAAACACACTTAAGAGAATCCAGTTATTTAACTATTGCAATTACAACAGGAAACACACTTTTTAAGGTGCACAACCTCCACCTCCAACATTGCCAAAAGACAATGAACACAATTCTGCACAAAATATGACAGTATAAGTTATCAGAACTTTAATAAATATACACTATATACATAAATGTGCCAAAAATATATACAATCAGATATATAAAAAATTTAACAAGAGCAGAGAATTGTTCAGCAATGGTTTGAAACATGAAAAAGAGTTCAAGGTGGCCTCCAAATTCCCCAGATCTCAATCTGATCGAGCATCTGTGGGATGTGCTGGATCAACAAATCCAATTCATGTAGGCCCCACCTCACAACTTACAGGACCTGCTGCTAATGTCTTGGGGGCAGATACCAAAGGACACATTCAGAAGTTTTGTGGAGTCCATGCCTCAATGTATTAGAACCGTTTTGACTTTATGAGGGGAACCTATGCGATATTAGGCAGGTGGTATAGTATATCAGTATACGAAACATGCCACGACAGAGAGGAAGACTACTGGGGATCGGGAGGTCATGGTGGAGCAGATATAGTACATTCAGGGAACACAAAAGCAGCACTGCTGGCTGTGACTGAACAGGCAGGGCAACCTACGTGGTAGGACGAGCAGACAGCTGAGGTGGCTCTGGGGCTGAAGTGGACTCTAGAGCGGCCTTCCCGGCCGCGGCAGAGACTTTGAGACACATTGCTGCCCCTTGGGGAATTGCAGCTGACACTGCCACCTCAGTGAAGCGAAGTAAGGTGACGGAAGGTGTCAGAGAGCAGCCATTAGCAGGACCTCCAGAACTAGGAGGTTCTCTCCATGTCCTTCTCCTCCTCTGAGGCTTTGTGAGAAGTGAACATGAGGGAGTACTAAATACCAGCAGGGCAATGCTGGGTGCCACACTGGGAGTAGTGACGTATCTGATGGTATATGGGAGAAACTAAAACGAAAAGCGAGGTCTATGAAATATTCCAGAGTGATATTGCATGTATCTCTGGCTAGGCATTATCTAATGGGCTCATTCAGTCCAAATCGGTAAAGGTCCTTAAAAACAATATTGTGCAGTTCAAACAATAGTCAAGAACACAGATCCTCTCAGTGTACTCTTTAATGATGGATGATGTTTGCCAAAGGCTCATACGCTGGATCCATTTATAGGTCAGGTATTCTGTCATGTAAGGTGAACCCAGAGACAAGGAAGAGAGGATCCAGATGCAGATTTTTATTAAAGCAAATAATAACAAGAGTAACAGAAACATGGAAACTAGAGAAAACCAAGAAACGAGGAGAGGCAGAAATGACCCGAACTAACACATCCAAAAAAACAAAACAAAAAGTACACAATCCACCAAGAAACAATAGAAAGATGAGGGCTAAATATCAGGGAACTAAAAACAAACTAAAAGTCCACAAACAAAACGAGCACAAGGAACAGACACATAATCATGACACCATGAGCTGTGGATTGATAATCCACAACGGATGTATAAATGATCATCACCATACATGATCGCTAGTTAAATTACACTGCATTCATGTGGTGTTAGAATAATTATAAAACTAATTTACCGACAAGTCGGAAAACTCTGATAATACAAATCCAACACATGACTCTGATGGCAGCAGGTAGCCTACCGCTAGCTAGCTACAATAAACATGCTTGAGTTAAAATGCCTAAAGCTAAACTTCCCTTGTAATGACTTGCAATGAGAAGCGTTTCTATACCTGTTGTCCAACAAAAGAGAACTTTACAACATGTTTGTTTTTCCTCCACAACATCATCCAAATAACGTGCCTTTATGATCTGATGTGGCTTCTTGTCACAGAGTGAGGCAGAAAAAATATTCTATACTGGATATTCAATGGATTATAAATATACTTAATCATGAAAATACCAAAGATGGCTTGAAGAACACAGATTAACCATATACCATTTTAAAAGTATCGATTTGGCACCAGTATTGTAAAAAACCCTAACAATACCCAACCCAATCCAAGAGAAGCCATAATTAAATCTAGACTGAAAACATGTTTACCTGTGCATTCTCTCACTAAAGATGCATCAAATAATTCAGTGCAATGTTCATTACTTCATGCAGTTCACCATTTTATTTATAATCATTTAGTTACATTGTGGCATTTTGCAGTAAGACAGAAATGTAATATTTTGATTCCAAGTTATAAGTACAGTTGTGCTCAAAATTATTCATACCCTTGGTAAATATGATCAAAGAAGGCTGTGAAAATAAATCTGTATCATTAATCCTCTTGGTCTTTTACTTAAAAACATTAACCTTTCATTGGAGAATAAGAATTTAAAATGGAGGGAAAAATCTCATTATGAAATAAATATTTTTCTCTAATACACATTGACCACAATTAATCATACCCTTTATTCAATACTTTTTGCCAAGATAACAGCTCTGAGTTTTCTCCTGTAATGCCTGAAGAGTTTGGAGAACACCTGATCAGAGATGAGAGACCATTGGTAACCAATTTTTTATCTGTTATTATTTTATAGAATCTACAATGCTGTCAGGAATTTGGCCTTTGTGTTCCTCATATTTATATTCCTTTGAAACATTTCATGTTCCTAGTCAGCCTGGTGTGATTAAAAAAATGCAAATATGAATGGAAATCCAGAGATATTTTAATCATAAGAATTTCTAGGGGTACCAATAATTGTGGCCATTGTGTATTAGAGAAAAATATTTATTTCATAATGTGATTTCCCCCCACACATTCCCCCTCACTTTTTTATTTTTTACTTCAATTAAAGGTTAGATTTTTTTATTTTATTTTTGAATGACAGATCAAATGGATAAACAATGCAGACTTATTTTCAGGGCTGCCTTTGATCGTATTTACCAAGGGTATGAATAATTCTGAGCGCAACTGTATATGGAATGGCACAATGTCTCCGTACAATTGAAATTTGAGTGTCTACTGCGATATTTGAAACTATAGAAAAGGAGACAGTTATGTGTGGATACAGGAGATCATGTATAAAAAATGTTTTAAAAAAAGCCTCAAGCCACATGTAAAAACGTGAACAATAATCAGATATAGCACACATTCAGATGTGGTGTGAACATAGTCTTAATTTCAAACAAATAAGCCTACCTATTTTCTGGTGCTATTTTAAATTGCAGGGCCACTTCTTAGGTGCATCTATTAGGTGTGACGTCAAAAGAAATGTATTACAAGGGAATTCTTCCAGAGTGAATATGCCAGTGATTTTTAAAATTGCCTCTTTCGGTGAACCTTGTCACAGTCACACTTAATTTCCAGAATGATCTTGAATGGCATTTCAGGAACACACAGAAACACGTGAAAGTCCTCTCTCCAGTGTGAACTATGCAAGTCTTCAGGTTTCCTATGTCTGTGAAACACTTTGCACAATGATGGCATATAAAATAGTTCTCCACTCAGTGAAATCTCATGTGGGTTTCTTCACATGATTCCACACATATTTCATGTGAATCTTAAGATTTTCTATTTGTGAGATGCTCTTCCCACAGGCTTCTCTCGAGTGTGTTGCTTACTCATGTGAGCATTGAGGCTAGCTTTATGACTGAAACTCTTTCCACACTGAGCACATTTACAGCATTTCTCTGCTGAATGAGTCTTCATGTGGTAATTAAGGCTTATCTTACGTATGAAACGCCTTCCACACTGATCACATTTGAAGGGTTTCTTTCCAGTGTGCCTGATCTTGTGACACTTAAGGCTAAATTCTGTTGCGAGGCTCTTTCCACAACGATCACATGTGAACAGCTGCTTTCCAGTGTGAATTCTCATGTGGTAATTACGGGTGTATATATGTGTGAAACTCTTCCCACAATACTCGCAAGAGTAAGGCTTCTCTCCGGTGTGAACTCTCATGTGTCCTTTAAGGCTTTGTTTTGCAGGGAAACTCTTTCCACACTGTTCGCATGTGTAAGGCTTCTCTCCAGTGTGAATAATCATGTGGGAATGAAGGGTGCCTTTCTGTGTAAAACGCTTTCCACACTGATGGCAAGTGTAAGGCTTCTCTCCTGAGTGAGTTCTCATGTGACCTTGAAGGTGTACTTTTTGAGTGAAACAACTTCCACACTGTTGGCAGGTGAATGGCTTCTCTCCCGAGTGAGTTCTCACGTGATTTTTAAGGTGTCCTTTTTGAGTGAAACCGTTTCCACACTGTTGGCAGGTGTAAGGTTTCTCTCCCGTGTGAGTTCTCATGTGCCTTTTAAGGGCTCCTTGTTGAGTGAAGCTCTTTCCACACTGTTGGCAGGGAAACGGCCTCTCTCCAGTATGAACTCTCACGTGCATTTTAAGTTTTTCTTTTTCACCGAAATTCCTCCCACAATGATGGCAGGTGAAACGGCGGTTACGTTTGGTTTTCTGAGCTCTTTTTCGTATAGAAGTCGTTTTAGTCGTTGTGGCTTTTTCACCATTTATGGAATCATGGCATTTTTTATACTGATCTGTCTGTTCCATTTCATTCAGATCTTTATTCTCCTCTTTCAGCACCAGCAGTCCTAAAGTAAAAAAATTATAAATACAAGTTAACCACAGTTTAAAGCCACAAAGCAAAAGATGTGAAAACCAACATGAAAGCATTTAAGGCCGGGACACACCAAGCCGCCTTCAAAGAACTAGCAGCGACAAAAGCTGACGGTGTTGTTGCCTCATGTCAGCAGCATCTGGACAAATAAGCAGCGCTTGAAGACACAACACAGACTGCATCCGACTACAAACTAACTCGTGTGATCTGCGCCTACATGAGAGGAGTTAGCTGTCTATAGCAATGTTCGTCATTCTAAAGGAGAAGCCGAAACAAGGATATACAAGATATACGCAGATATACGAAACGTAAACAAAGCAGCGCTTACTTGCCATTTAGAATATCAGTTATGTTGATAACTTTCTTCATTTTAAGCGGCTCATGTTGAAAGGACAATATTCGCACATCGGAATGCTTGGGAAAGATCACGTAACATTAGAACAGCCTTCTGTCTGTACCGCCTTCATTTACTTTCCCGTTTTCATCACAACGCTTTAATTCTTGAGCACTGACTCGTTTGCTAAACTGAACATCCGATCAGAGTTCTCACTCTCACTGACAGCCAAGTCGGCAATTCAGCATGTTCAATCGGGCAAGCTGCTGCCGACGTGTGAAACACACCAAACTAGCCCGACAGACGCGAATCGACGGCCGAACATCGTCTTGGTGTCCCGGCATTAAAACCAACAACATGCATACCTAGATCTTATAAGCACTTAGCTACTGAAAGAGGTGTTAATCTCAGAACCTCTCAATATTTTTAACTTTGCGCTTTCTTTAGGACACTCTTAAGCTAGTTATCAAACCCCTATAACTTGACCCAGGATAGTTGGTTTATCATAGACCAATCCTAAATGTGCTATATACACTGAACAAAATTATAAACGCAACACTTTTGTTTTTGCCCCCATTTGTCATGAGCTGAACTCAAAGATCTAAGACTTTTTCTATGTACACAAAAGGCCTATTTCTATCAAATATTGTTCACAAATCTGTCTAAATCTGTGTTAGTGAGCACTTCTCCTTTGCCGAGATAATCCATCCACCTCACAGGTGTGGCATATCAAGATGCTGATTAGACAGCTACATATGAATATTTAAGTCCTTACACTAAAGTTCACACAAACTCTTTTCTCCGCTGTGGCTGTCAGTCATTCGTTCAGCCTTTAAACCCTGGTCCCATTTGGTTACAGCAGTCAGCTCGGTAAAGCTCTCCAAGATCATTCTGTGTTCCCATTATACTTGATTTGTAAATACATGTCTATGATTTTGCAAAAAGGACTTTATCTTCTTGCTGGAGTTTAATGTTGTTTTGTTACTTGCTACCGGGTGTCTGTGAGAACAAAACACGGGCGTAGAAAAGACTATAAATTGTTTTTTAACGTGCACAGTAACTGAAATTTAAAACTGTTAAAAGAAAGGCTCAATAACTGTTGCACTATATAGTACCAGTCAAATGTTTGGACACACGAATGGGAAAGTGTCCAAACTTTTGACTGGTACTGTACTATAATATACACAAAGAATATCGGCCGATATATCGATATCGGCCTTTTGTTTTATTCCCTAATATCAGTATCGGCCCCAAAAAACCCATATCGGTCAGGCTCTAATTCACGGGACTCCTGCAAAATAGAAACATCTAAACATAAAACATCTAAAACAAATAAATTGTTATTCATCTATTGCACAAAAGCAACATGAACTAATATAAAATATAAACGATTAACAGGTGCAAGCGTATGCAGAGTTTCTATTTAGGCTATAGCACATGTTTGCAGCGTTGAGCAATGTAGTGCTGAAATCTTCGTGCTCAAGAATCCTTTCATTATAACACACGAATTGTAGACATTATGAACGATTCATTATGCATATATTTATTGTGTTATAACAGAGATTTGTGAGATTGCGATGAACTGAGATGTCTTTTAGAGATTATAAATGCAGCGCTCTGCCATGCCAAACCATGCACGCAGCAGTCGCTGCTTTAGTTAAAAATAACAGTGTTCTGTGAATGTTGATGCTTTAATAACAAATATGTATCAGGAGCGTGTATGCTGGGATTTCATAAATTTAATGGAGAAAAAAGTAACGTAACTAGTAATGTAACTAATTACTAATTACTTTTTAAATAAAGTAATCAGAACAGTAACGTGATTATTTTTAAAAGGAGTAATCAGGAATCAGTAATTTGATTACATTCTCAGAGTAGCTTGCCCAACACTGATCACGGCTGGGATGACAATATCAATTTCTCATTCTTATCAATTTTCAAATTGATAAACCAAGATTGTTTCGTCTATGCTGTTTTCAGTTGATGCTTAAACAAAAACAAAACATTATTTGTATCGTGTCTGCCATCTTATAATCACAATACGATTTGTGCTTTGTTACAAAGTCTCCATTTTCAAATTCAGTCCTTTATATTGAAGTTCAAACAATGAACGTTGTTTGACGCTCTTTGATGTGGCATGACATCACTGTAGCTGCCAGAGTTCAAGCAGCAGCGCGGATCAAGTGCACACATGAGGTTCCTAAGGTTCGCTTCGGACGGACCTCTATTTTTCTGAGGTGGGAATAATACAGGTTATGAATTGCCTAATATTAACTCTTCTTTGGTGCTGCATTGATGTTGCACAATGCCAAGGAGAACTTGCCTCAATGGTCTCTCATCGCTGTCAATGTCAAAATGTTTGAGATAACCAATCAAATCAAAGTAGGCGGGCATTATGCACACAGAAACTGCTGAGGCAGCTGAGCGCAAATTCCAGTGCGATGCTTCAGTTAATGGTTATAAAGTGCGAGATAAACTACCAGTCAAAAGTTTTTGAACTTTAAGATTTTTAATGTTTTTTTAAAGAATTCTCTTCTGTTCACCAAGCCTGCATTTATTTAATCCAAAATACAAAAAAAGCAGTAATATTGTGAGATATTTTTACTATTAAAATAACTGCTTTATATTTGAATATATTTTAAAATGCAATTTATTCCAGTGATCAAGGCTAAATTTTCAGCATTAATCAAAGCTCAGCTTGGGAGGGGATGAAATACAGGGAAAGATAAGGAGACTGAGATAAAACGAAAGAGAGAAGGTGCTGGTGATGAGAAGAAAAGTCAAATTGACAAATCATTTATGCTACTGCTCACTGGCATGGTTTTAAAGCTACTGTTATCCAATTGTTGGCCTTCAAACATCTTTAAATTCACATATGAAGATCAAAGAAATCCAGCAGTTTTGGACTCTATGACCTCAGTGAATATAAAACCCTGAGTACGGCCCCGAGCACACATGAACCGAGCCAATAATCTCCTCCTCTTCACTGCTGGTTTTCACACAGAATAGTACAACGTACTGAATGCATCTCAGCTCAATCAGTGCTTCAACCGTGGAAAGACATGGTTGAAACACGGTTGAAACATTTCATGTAACGTTACCTCAGCAATGTCACTGAATGTCCATAAATGCAATAATTTGCTTGAAAATAGAGAGGAGCATTTTGTCATGCTGTACTCTATGTTGCACTTGAAATGAATATCAGAAAGATGTGATTGTTTTTGTAAATATGTCTCATACATCATGTAAGCTATAGCCTGCATGATTTCCTCATGGTTTAGTGTTAAAAAGCAAACCAAAGTCACGACACATTGCAACATTGAATCACAATACTTGTAAAATCACATTTCTTATAAAAATTTTTTTAAAAACTCACAATACATATTGATTTGTCACTCAAGTATCATGATAGCATTGATTCAGGAAAGGCATATCAACCCAGTCCTACTTCCTAGTGAGGTTTGAAGTGAGGTTTGCCTCTTTGACTCCTGGATTTATCAATGAGAATTTGATGTCTTGTCCTGATTATCTTTAAATTGATTATGTAACTGGTATGTTACATGTTTACCCGACTAAAAACATAATACATTTGAATTTACACTGATTTACTCCAAAATTATTTTCAAGTATAATAAGTGAAAGCTAATTGTATGGCAAATCTGCGTCCAGGGTTAAGTGCATACTAGATCTCAGGTTAGATGGAGTCTGAACAGATGAGAGTGTTCAATGTACACCCTGAGTGCCCTAACGGGGCACAGTAGGTTGGGACCCTGATCACCATCCGTCACAGAGAGTGTTAACATTACTGGCATTGGACAGTTTACTTATGTTAGTCCACCAAGATCCATTCAAAATGTAGCAAACCTTTGTCCACTATTGTGGTCAGAGAGGGGCCCTGCCATAAACTGGGCCCTGGAATGTGCTGTCCACTACATTTGCTTGGTCACGTGCTGAATGCGAAGGACATGCTTGAATAGAACCAGCTTCAACTGAAATTCCATCGCTCAGTATTGAACAGTGAGAAGGAGAGGGAGCGCTAGCTTTCTATGAGGGATTTCTGGGCCTCAGCGAGAACTGACCCTTTCCTTTTCCTCTCAAAAATGCTTTGCTAGACAGTGAGAGCAGCCAGACCCTGCGAGTGCAGCCTCAGCGTGGACATGGCCCAGACACGTCTAAATCTGAAGCTGTTAGTGATAATCATTAGTGACAGTGTTCTCTTTCAATCTGCCTAAAAATATCAAACTGCACATTATATGAGGGGTGCTGATGATCCTCATGTGTAAACACACCAGCAGATCAAAGTGCTGCATGCATTCTCTTTGATCTGCCTAAAAAGGATAAAACTGCTCGTTGCAGACAAGGGGCACCAATCCTCATGTGTAAAACACACTGGCAGATCAGAGTGCTGCGGGAAGAGTGAAGCATGTGGGACCTGTGCCGGCATGTGATTGCTCAATCATGGTTGCTCAGCCCCGCGACTTCACCGTTTCATCTTCCAAGGTAGCTGGGAGAGGAGAACGTGAGAGCGGAGGTAGTGGGGCCGCCTTCATTGAAGAAAACGAACTGCGAGTGAAGCAAAGCGAGACACATACTCTCGAAGTGAGAATGGACTGTCTCAGTGAGCGCAGCCTCAGCGTGGCCGTGGCCCAGGTGAGCGGCGCACTCAAATCTGAAGTTGTCAGCAATATGAATCATTGCTGACAGCATTGTCCTCTGATCCACATAAAAAGATCCCACCACTCAATGCAGACGAGGGGCGCTGATCTGGCAGATCAAAGTGCTGCGGTGAGAGTAAAGCATGTGGGACCTGTGCCGGCATGTAATCACTCAGGCCTGATCGTTCAACCCGTGAGTTTGCCGTTTCTTCCTCCGAGGTAACTGGGAGGAGAGAAAAGTGAGAGAGGGAGGGACAGGGTCGCCTTCATTGAAGAAAGTGATCCGCGAGCGAAGAAGGGACAGACTCAAGCTTTCGCAGTGAAAGCAGCCTGTCTCAGCGAGCGCAGCCTCAGCGGCGCACACACAAATGTGAAGCTGTCAGCGATACAGAATCATTGGTGACAGCATTCTACTCCGATCTGCCTAGAAGGATTGAGCCGCTCAATGTAAACGAGGGGTGCAGGCTGAGCCTCTTCCGTCTTCATCTTCGACTTCTTGATAGCAGAGTCAGCAAAGAGATGGTCTCTTTGCTGAAGGAGAAGATTCTGATGATATGGCGCTCTTAGCAGGCTGGTTGGTTTGTGCTGCTACAAAACATTATCAAATCAGGCTTTAGTATCAGAGTAAACAGAAGTTTCCCCCAAAGCATCAGCAACACAACAGGAGAGACCGTTCAATAGGGAACTACTATTTAGAAAATGCCAAGTATAGTATTAGTCATAAACTAGTGCTGTCAAAATTAGCACGTTAATGCAGGCAATTAATTTTTTCAGTTTAAAGCGTTACAAATATTTAATGCAATTTACACAGGGGCGGAGCTTGGGTTGGCCACCCCACTCACAACTGCTGCTTCTGTTTCACAAGAACCATCGTGTATTTAAACGCAGAATGTCTTTACGACCACATCAAATGGGAGACGTTTCAGACACACGCTCCAACTTCACTTCAGCGCCATACGCGAGTCAAATGAGTGCAGAAACAGTACTGGGCTCGTAGCTCGTGCTCTTCAATTGCACGCACCTATGCGCCAGCACGCGCTGTAGACTGTATAATTTCATATCAAATTGCGAAAGAAACTATGAGCATGCAATGTCGTCAGTTAAGTCAAGAAGTTACCAAAAAGGCAAATAAAGCTGCTTTAAAACTGTGCATGTATGTATTTGCTATATGAGTCACATTTAAGAGCATGTCTCTAAATGCAGTGGTTTTCAAAACTGTCCTGGAGCACTGCAGCACTGTCTCTAAAGCTGCACGATTAATCGTTAAAAGATCGCAATCTCGATTCAAACATCCATGCAATCTCATTTCTAAGTGACAATGATTCACCCGTGTCTATTAAACCTTTGAAAAAGTCTTACCATAACATTCAAATCTGCGTTCGCACGGCCACTGTCACAGAGAGCAGACAGCTACCATGTTTAAGTAAGAAACAGCTTCACAAACAGTCTTTTGCACTACTTTTTCAACTAGTATTATTTCTGTCTTACAATCATTCATACTATCACAGAAATACTGGGATGAAAGTTTATAGTACGAATATAAACGTTGATGTCTATGGTAGCGATTAAATAGAGAAAAATCACCCTTTTGAAAGTAATTGGCGCTTCAAATAACATTTGTGTCGATTACATTGTTTCTCCACTAGGTGGCGATAAGTGACTGTTAAAAAATGTATTTGTCATTGAATCATTCATTCAAAAGATTTGTTCAAAAACGCTGATTGATTCAGTAATGAAACTAGTGAAGTATTTATGAGTGAGCCATTGAATCGTTCATTCAAACCAATGTTTCATAATTTTAATATTAACAATTGCTTTATTAAACATATTTTAAATGTATATTATATATTTACATTTTTAATAATTCATGCAAATTAAAATAACACTTTTAAATAGATTGCAGCAATTAATGTCGTCACAGCCTCTAGTAAATTACACAATATTCTGTTAAGTTTGGAATGGTCAGAGAATCGTGATCTCTACATATCCAGAATCGTGCAGCTCTAACGGTCTCCCTCATCTAACACACCCGATTCAACTCATTAGTAGACTAGAGACTTTAAGTCCTGAAGTGGGTCAGAATAGGTTAAGAGATACATGTCAGATCCGCGTCGCTCTGGGATAGCAGCCAAACCTAATAACCAGCTGCTCTGATGTCTGTTAATCAAAGATCAAAAGAAAAGAGGACATCAATTCTTGTAGCTTTAAGGATTCATCTATATTTAATTTAGAATTTAGTGTTTGATAACTTTATTCAATTTCTGTGCATTTCCTACTTGCTGAAGGGCACAGGTAACTTAAATATGACATTTATTATAATGGGTTTATGTGAAGATTGTTTTAAGTTCACTTACAATTTTCACTCAAATTAGAAGTTATTTTAAGTAGTCTAATAAATGTTAAAATTGATAGCTAAAATTGAACACTGTGTGACACAGGTTCCCAATGAACAAGTAAAACTCAAAGTAAAGAGTTAAAGTGGATAATTAAGTGTCTAGAAAAGTATTATATCAATGACCAATGATCGATTGGCATTACAACCTAAAACTCAAGGTTATTGTCCTACAGGTATGCTTGAGCTGCTGGGGAAAAATGTTGTCATGTAATCCAAAATTGATATTTAATATTTATTTTAAAACTACAAACTTTCTAGTCAGGCTTTCTAAAGCCAGCATCAGTCCACATGGAAACAGAGTTGTGTTTAAAAGACACCAGTTTAATACAGTGAATACTTTTGAGGATGAAAAAACAAAAACATTGATCACATTCAAGTCAAGTCAAGTCTGCTTTATTTTCAATTCTTCCACATGTACAGCACATACACACAGAGAATTGAAATTGCGTTACTCTCAGACCCTTGGTGCATACAGGTAACACTAACAGTAGAACATAAATACAGATATACAGATTAAATATAAAATACAACTATACAAATATACAAATAAGGTCAAATGTAAAAAAAAAAAAATTGATATTAAAAAAAAATCGAGCAGAAACTCACGACTGTATGCGCGCTTAGAGACAGATAGACGCGACGAATACGTACAAAAACACTGCGACTCACAAGACAAAAAACACGAAAACACCTTTCTGTCGGGAGAGAGAGAAGCCGCAGTGTGTGAACGCGCCGCCATCTTGAGGGAATGAAACATCACATGGTTTGCTCTGAGCAAAATAAATGTTTTGTTAGAAACGGTTTCATAATTAAGAGTAATAGAAATGAATGGTTTTCGTTCATTTCAATTAAGTAGATATTGGGTTTAATGTTACACAAACTACTGATTTCGTTTAGGCTACTTCTGTTACTTCTCCTGATTTGTTGGGTGACGTCAAAGTATCAAATGTCCAATACTGAAGTGGGATCTTCCCAGGTGCACTTAGTGTTGTCTGGTCATGTGATCTCAACATGTGTGTCCACAGGAGGCTCCGTGTCAAATAAAACCACTTTAATTAATTAGGACACTCTTCACATTCTTCAGAAATATCATTCATTTCTGTAGAGCTGGATCAAGTGAGTGAGTTCAGATCTGAGAATGAAACCAACCTGTTTGTTCCTCAGTAACTTGTTTCAGACTGAACACTTCTTCAATCCTGAAGTCTTCACTCTCCTCTTTAATAAACGCCATCTTTATTAGTGAGTCACGGGGACCTCAGTCGCTTCAGCAGGAGATTTTCTGTGTATTCTGTCCTGTTTAAGACAAATAAGAGATATACAAGATAAATAAGTATAAGAGAATAACCAGGGTAAGAGGATCAGCTCCCTATTTCAGTAGTCAGCACACTAGTAAGGGAGAATTCAGAGTGTGAGTTAGAGGGGTCATATGACGCGATTGCATGCTTTTCTTTGTCTTTGGAGTAGAGATGTAACGATTCACTCAACTCATGATTCAATTCACGAGTGTTTTAACAACATGAGATTTAAGACAAATTATGAGTTAAATGCGTCCTTTTATTATTGCTTGGACAAAATGCTGCACGTTTCTTTGTGAAATTGAAATATAACACTATAATAATATACTAATATAGCACCACTTGCATATTACTGCTCTTTTGCTGGTTTTGATTGCTTCTATTGTCCTCATTTGTAAGTCGCTTTGGATAAAAGCGTCTGCTAAATAACAACATTTAAATATAATGTAAATGTAAATAACAAAACTACATTGAAATTTTAAAACAAGCCCCAAATCAAATAAATAAGTAACACAAATAAAATAAATCTCTTCATATAAACAAACTCAGGCTTTGTCTGTGCTCTTTTTGGCAACCACTGCATTTTAATCATGATCCAAACAAAGATGCTGCAGACATGCAACACGAGCAGATTTTAATCTAAATTAGATTGTATAATTTCTAAATTTGAAGCAAAAACAGAATGGTTAGAAATATTTTATTTTTACCTTTGTAATGGCATCTTTTCCATCTATGTCAAATTCAAAAATGTATGTTTATAAGCTTTTTCAAATCTCTATTTAAAAGTAAAAGTCCCCCAGCAGCAGCAGCCCTGTGACGTCACGCCGCCGGAGCAGAATAAAAGTCCCCCAGCAGCAGCAGCCCTGTGACGTCACGCCGCCGGAGCAGAATAAAAGTCCCCCAGCAGCAGCAGCCCTGTGACGTCACGCCGCCGGAGCAGAATAAAAGTCCCCCAGCAGCAGCAGCCCTGTGACGTCACGCCGCCGGAGCAGAATAAAAGTCCCCCAGCAGCAGCAGCCCTGTGACGTCACGCCGCCGGAGCAGAATAAAAGTCCCCCAGCAGCAGCAGCCCTGTGACGTCACGCCGCCGGAGCAGAATAAAAGTCCCCCAGCAGCAGCAGCCCTGTGACGTCACGCCGCCGGAGCAGAATAAAAGTCCCCCAGCAGCAGCAGCCCTGTGACGTCACGCCGCCGGAGCAGAATAAAAGTCCCCCAGCAGCAGCAGCCCTGTGACGTCACGCCGCCGGAGCAGAATAAAAGTCCCCCAGCAGCAGCAGCCCTGTGACGTCACGCCGCCGGAGCAGAATAAAAGTCCCCCAGCAGCAGCAGCAGCAGCCCTGTGACGTCACGCCGCCGGAGCAGAATAAAAGTCCCCCAGTAGCAGCAGCCCTGTGATGTCACGCCGCCGGAGCAGAATAAAAGTACCCCTTTTACTTCTTGTAGCTGTGTTGCTTACATCATAGCAATGTTTTTACCCTTCTGCCATATTTCATCGTAACAGTAGCAAACCCACGAGCGCTCAGGTGTTCATTTGCACTGAAACACTGACAGTAATATCTGAATGTTGACTGGTGACAGCCGAGCTTCACATTGCAGCACTGAACCGGAGCACGTGGTCTGTGACGTCTGAAGCTTCGTTTGCCTGAAAACCACGTGACTGCTTCAGCATCTGCTCAAACACCTCAGCGCCACGTCCTTTACTTTATTATATTACATTATAATGCGTTAGCTGTGCTTTGTGTTTTGTTTTGTTTCCCCCCAGCATCATAATTTATACATTAAGCTCAAGTGAACTTAGCCTACAAAATAATAGATTTCAAATAGACAGATCACAGATTTAATTTATACATTTATGTTTCATTTATTTTACTGCCAGTACACCGACACAAATGAATGACTTTGACCATGACCATTATTTATATACATTACAATAAAATAAAACAAAGAGCCATTAGCAGAACCAGACGAGAAGCCAGCGGCTGTAATGGAGCGCAGCACTTCGGAAGCTGCTATGCGGTTATGACCACTAGATGGCCACAGAATCAACCATGTTGAAATAACTATTTAATATTGCATTTTTGTATAATTACCGTTGTCCACTGACATAATATATCACCCCCAAAAAATATAATAATAATAATAATTAGAAGAAGAAGAAGTAATCAAGCTGCCATTTCATGCTCTTGGGGGCCCTAAGCAGCTGCTTAGTTCACTTAGGGCTGGCTCTGCATGAACTAGTGAGTCAATTCTGGAATATACTGAAACAAACAGTACATGACATAAAAATACAATCAGTAAGAGAATCAAAAATGCATGACAAGAAACATTGCCTCTTTATTTCTACCCAACCTTAACATTAACCTCTACGATGCAGTCCATATAGAAACTAGCATTTACATCAAGATACTAGTGTTACACAAGTAAAACTTACCAGTGCATGAATTTAAAAGCCTCTTAAATTTGAACTTATTTTTCCTCAGAAGTCAGACATCTCCTGCATATTGAGTCTCAAGCCATACACAAGTTTTGGATCCAGCCTGTCATCCCTCTTGAAGCCAACACACAGTTTGCATTTGAGCAGCTCATCTGGATGTAACACCCCTTCAGAAGCCCATGCCATGGCATCGTGTGCATCAGCACTACGTCAGATTCAGTGTCGCTGTGATCGTGTCCTCCACGGGCACAGCATTACTGTTAAAATCTCCGTTTAATGGCCTTCTTTGCTATCCTGAAGATTGTGGAGAAGAGGAGATGCCTCTTCTGTGTCGCTCTCGCTGCTTTCAAAACCATCATCACTATTTATGGGGTTCTGGCCACAGAAGTAGTCATTAATAAGTTGAGCACAACGTTTCATGCCGGTCAGATTTGCCTGTTGGACCGATGCAGTTCTGTTAGGCTGCTCTCTTCCAGTTCTCCCTACATTCCCAAAACACAGGCCCTTCTAGAGTAATGCAACAGTTTTAGCATTAAAATTATACTATATACTTTTAAAGGGTTACTTGAGGACGTTTTACAAACAAGAGTGTATTTCAAGGACTACACTGAGGTTGTGGCTTACAAAACGCTTTAAAATGATTTGTGTTGTGAAAAGCACCATACAAATAAACCTGACTCGAATGACTTGAACTGCATGGAGAAGAGTAACAGCATGTGTTAAATGTCTGAGTTAATGGGGTAGATGTATGCTGTAGACATAAAATAATGGCTAAATGAGATCTGTTGTTGTTTGCCAATATCTGATCGAATTTTCCATTTGATCATATCCTATAAAGAACATGTTTTTACAAAAAAAGATGATAAATGAAGTGTGCACCGATGTTGTAATAATAGCTCAAGAAGCAGAGCTTGTATGGATCCAAGTGCAGCTTTATTTTAAAGCAAAATAAAAGGCTTGCCAGTATACATACAGAACAAGACCAAACAAGAACGAGAAACACAGGAGCGTGTTTATGGGAGTAATGATTGCTAGAAACACCCGCAAACAATAGAGAGGGAACTGTGAGCCGAGATCTAGGAAAACAACGTTCAAGCTAAAGACCAGTTCAACACAAAAGATCAAAGTAGCTAAAACATGATGAGGATAGTTGCATTGTTGCAGAAGTGGAAGCCATCTTCACATGGCGCTGTCCTGTCGAGCCAGAACATAGTCCCTTGGTTTCTGTGGCCTTCGGCTCAAATGATAAGCAAAAGCACACAGCACGAGCATAAAGCAGGAGGATGCCGCAGCTGCCACCAACCACACGGACTCCGAGTCTAAAGAGAGGAGGAGGAGACACATTTAAACACATACATAGACGTTGTGAAATAAAGTATTAGATATGAAATATTTTTCTTTGTTCAGTTTCAATGTACAAAACAGTGCACTGTGAAAGATAGGGTAGGCATTTTTTCTAGAAACATTTTTTGCTATACTGGTTCTCATTCTCATAGCAATCAATGTTACGTGGTAGTATTAGTATTAATATTAGTAGTATTAGCTTACCGAGACAACAACATTAGCATTTTCTAAATCCCACATAGTGCTGAGTATTGGATGAAAGTATTCTCCATTATAGTGAGGACTCTGGTCTCTGCAGTTCTTTTCCTGGTCTCTGGGGTCGCCTACAGCAGTGTGGACTATCATCACTGCACGGCTGGTTGTCTAAGTGGAGTCCTCAGAATACTATGGGTTTAATAGCTTTTGGGGTAGACCTGACCGGTGGAAAAGAGAGATGCTCTACCATGAAAACCACCCATCCATTTTCCAAACCGCGTGTCCAGTGTCGCCCATCCCAGCATCTCGGGCCATACTCACACCGAAGGACTAGTTTTCAGTTCAGCTAATCTGCATGTGTTTGAGGGGAAACTGAAGCACCCAGAGGAAAGCCACAGTACCTCCACACCAAGAGAACAGATGAATATATATGTTTGAAAGAGTTTACTCCCCTTATCTGCTGTTATGAACATGAGCCTCACGAAGTGTTGCAACAGCTTACAGTGATATTCCTGGTGTCCAGCCGAGGTCTCACAGAATTACCTGCTCAACAGGAAGCCTCCCGAGTAGCCAGGTCAGAGTTTTCCGGTGGCTGGTCATTACCCATCGATGTCACATCTGTGGACTGAGCTAGTTGGTTTCCAACAGACACCATGCACTGGATCACCAAACGAGCGCCTGCAAGTTAACAGCACTGTTAAAGGTTGGTGAGTAACTCTCTGATAATCACTACATAACAGTAAGTAAACAAACATGGGCCTCATTCTCTCACTGTGGGAAGGTTCTTACACAGAATTCATGATTCAGTACGGTCCACATAGGTGAGAGAGATGAGGTTGTGCAGAAAGCCCTTTATGGGGAGTTCTTGAATGAATTATTAGTCAATTAAATTGAATGTGAGCAATCAAAATGTACTATTTGCTTTATGACTATTTATTATTAACTTCTGGGAAATTAAAGCTCATGCTCAAGTCCTCCATCATGCTGGACAAAGCAAATCAGTTTGCTCTCATTTTACGTGTGAACTTGTTCATTATGTCAGTGTTTTCTATATAACCTATTTTTTCACTGTCCATTACTGTGCTGTAAACCTGTCCAAAAGTGTGTCCAATCCATATGCGTACAGATTAATTACAGTACATTTGGTTTTTTAGTATTACAGAATACTGTCATATAATATGGACAGTGTCATGCAACATGTGACCTGCACATAAATATATCATCTAAAAATCTGACAATCAACCCCTGTAAATCGGTATTGTTAGCAGTGTAGACTCACCTAAATGACTTTCAGTGAAGGATCCGTTTGCAGGAAAGACAATGTAAGGGAATGAATGACTCGATGCTGTGAGAAAACTGTTAAATTACCAGGGAGTAGAATTCAAATGGTTATTTTAATGTTTTAGATCAATATGTTGGTTAAATTATATATATTTTTAAAAAGCATCTCTGATACTTGCATGTGGAAGCACTGAGACGGTTAGAGGTGGCCGCTTCTGATTCATCATTTGCTCAACCATCAGACAGGTTTAGAAAGAAAGAGAAGCAGTGGCAGAACCGTCCGTATGACACAGCGTAGTGACACTTGAACTCTCCAGGTCCTGCTCACATTATACTGGGTATTGTTGAAAATCACACTTAGCCTACACGTGTAGAAGCCCTCATCTTTCACAGAGATGTTTTTGATGGCCAGAATTATGCCTCTCTCGACTGTATACTGTCCTTTGCCGATAGGGAGAGCTGTGCTCTGAAAATCCTGTAAATTAATACATTTTAGAAACATTTTTGTCCTTTGAATTCAAATATGTATTTACATGTTTTCCACAATGTGCAGTGACCTACCTTGTACCACTTTGGATTTTCAGAGCTTTTGAAGTATTTCAAATGGGGACAGACGATGTCAGTATCTCCTCCTGCGCGTGCGGTGTAGGGCATTACAGTGATGTTGGGCTCCTCTTCCTCGTAGATCATTACTGTAATACTCCCAGTGAGGCAGAACGTGTCGCTCCTGCGTGACAAATGCATTACTAACTCCATTTAGACCAACCCAAGTTCCACGAATGTAATCACATTTTAGATGGTACCTCTATTGGACATTTCATAATACAAACAATTTAAAAAAATATTTACTCTAATAAAATATAAAATTTTGATTGCAAACCTGTGCCGCATAACTGCTTTCTTCAGTGTACGACATAATGCAGATCTTTGATTCATATGCATGTTAATACAGTGTTGTGAGAAAGTAGAGCAGATGTGTAGATGGTATACTCTAAAGTTCAGCCCTAGTTCAGTGGTTCTCAATTCCAGTCCTCGCGACCGCTCATCTGCACGTTCAGTATGTGTCTCTTATCGCTTCAGAGGTTTGTTCGGGTCAACCGTAAGTGCGCTGCGAAGTGGCCGTTACAGGATATTCCTCCATGATTCCAGTTTGAAGGGAGCATATATGTTCACTGGGCATTAAAGTGTGCGAGACGTGAATTTATATTGTATGTATTTTCAGAGGTATATTATGTCACACTGGAAGTGAGAACTACTGGACTAGAGCATGACCAAAAGAATGTGCATGCTCAAATTCTAGTGACTATTGTAGTGTCCATTCAAAACAGTGCTAATGTTAGGGCTGGCCGATGTACCTCAAATGTAATATATATACAGATTTTATAATATTGCATTTGCTCTAGAATAATTAAAAGAATGATTTAGTCATTTAGATCTTCATTTAACTTTCTTTCTGCTTTTGATTTTAGAGTGAAATGACGAAATATTAACATTTCTATTTAGTTCACTGTAATATGAAATAGTATATATTAAAAACAATACATTTTATTAAAATTTGACCCTGGAGCACAAAACCAGTCATAAGGGTCAATTTTTCAAAATTGAGATTTCTACCTCATCTGAAAGCTGAATAAATAATCTTTCCATTGATGTATGGTTTGTTAGGATAGAACAATATTTGGCTGAGATACAACTATTTGAAAATCTGGAATCTGAGGGTGCAAAAAAATCTAAATATTGAGAAAATCATCTTTAAAGTTGTCCAAATGAAGTTCTTAGCAATGCATATTACTGATCAAAAATTAAGTTTTGATATATTTACGGTAGGAGATTTACAAAATATCTTAATGGAACATGATCTTTATTAATATCCTAATGATTTTTGGCATAAAAGAAAAATGTATAATTTTGACCCATACAATGTATTTTTGGCTATTGTTACAAATATACCTGTGCTGCTTATGACTGCTTTTGCGCTGCAGGGTCACAGATGGTAAAGTATGTTTGTAAGTACAGGTATGTTAGTGTTAGTTGCAGCTCTTTGCTGACTGTAAAGTGGTTAGCTGTGAGCTCTGAGCTGAAGATGTAGGTGTCGGTTCCAGAGTCTGAGGAGCAGGATCCTGCGCTCGGTCAGCATCACCCCTCACGCCTCTCGCTCCTCAGGCTGCTGTGACGGAGCTGCTGTCCACTCGCAGTCTCCTGTTATTCACTGCATCTTCAAGAAAAGGGAATCTGATGATAACCGCTTCGCCTTGAACTCGATAATCCGGGATCTCTGGACCCACAAGCACACAACTGTCTGAAGCAACAACCACAAACAGTAGTGCAGCAGCACCGTATCAAAATCACAGTTTACTGACTCAGGCTGTTCCTCTCAATAACAACACAGACACAACCAGAATGATAGCCTGAGAAAACAGTCCTTTATACAACAGATTGCTTTCTAGTCACCAGTGTCAATATCACAAAAAAACAATACTAGCCTAAACTAAAAAAATAAAAACTCAGGCTCACTGAAGACAACAGTCAGCGATGAAATAAGAATAAGCAACTAATTACAAGCATTAGGACAAAAAAAATACAGTTAAGAAATGTTACATTGTATAAAATAATCAAATGTATTAAAACTCTGCATATTCGTCACTGTGTAAATGAAATATATATATATACACATATTTCTTCCTATTAAAGTGACAAAAGTGATTTAGTCAAGTGCAGTGAGAGATTTCCTCTTTTGTTGTGTCTCTCCAGAGCATTCATGTGTTCACTCGCAGACGTCCAGAGTAGATTTCCACGTCAAAGAAGGCCAGTGGGACTTTTCCCTGAACGCTGACTTTGGCAAGCCATTTTGAACTCCCCAAAAGAGCTTCATTTGACCTGATTTAGTCAGAAATGACGTCACGCCTGACTGGAAAACGTGACTGCAGTGCTGCCGGACACTGTAGTGGTGCTTTGGTGAGCTGTACTGTAGTGCTTGACACTCCAGCGGCTCTCACACCTGTGTCTCGCAGTGCTCACACAACACAGCGGTTTGTCAGTGTCTCTGCAATCAGCCGCTGGCTCCTGCTGGCTGCATGCGAGTAGGGCTGATTCCTCTAAAAACCATGTTCAGCTCCGTTCCTAAACTGGAGATCGAGTCTGTTCATCTAACACTGGCAGCAGCTGTCCTCTGGTCGGATCAGGCTTGATCTGCTGCTGGAGGTGTCAGTGAGGGACACACTGCTGTCACAAAGCACCCATCTTTGGATGAGACGTTACAACAACTGAAGAAGTTGCTATGTGAATGTAATGAGTTATTCATTTGCTATCCCACAAAAGTGAATGCAAACAGGTGGAGAAATTCGCTCCTACAACTACAACAGAGAAAAAGACGGACTCATTTTTTGTTAATAGTATTTCAATAATGTTTAGTTTGCGTTACATATTTGTAAATTATATGCTTTATCTGATGTTTTGTTATTATGATGTTATTGCAACTTTACAGCTTTTTTTATTCGCTTTGGTACTATTTCCTTAAGTAAGGTGAACATTTCTTAAAATTCTTAGTAGATAAAACTCTCAGAAGAACTGATTACAGTCTGTGTTGATCAGCGAACATCGCTTCAGTTACTCTGACAGACAGTTCATTCAAACGCAGACAATGTGAAACACATTTCTAAGAAGTCTTGTTGCTACAGTACATCTGAGAAATAACATTACGTGTTTTCCATCTGGCTTGACGTTTAAAGGTGTGATGAAGACCTGAAGACAGTCATGAGGACCTAAACATGACACACTCAACAGCAGGGATGGGCAACTCTGATAGTGACGAGGGCCAGCATTTTTTCTCTTTTATACCAAGGGGCCAGATTACTAATCCACGTCCACACACCTTTTACACAGTCTTACTCCATTTCCTTTTTATTGAAGGAAATTAAAGTATAACTAATGTCATTTGTTTTTAAAGATTTTAAGTATAAAACTTGTGCAGTTATGCTAATTCAGAAGGAAAACTTTGTCGTCCGACAATTGCATTGTCTGTAAATTTGCAACAAACAAATATACAGAGGTCCTTTTTTTATCAGTAGCCTACAGAACATTCTCAAAACAACTTAAAAGGACAGTTAAAAATGGCTTAATTAAAATTTTTTTTATTCCAAATGGTACCATAAAATACGTACTAAAAGACACTGCGGGCCGCCAGTTGCCCATCCCTGCTCTACTAATCAGTAGGCCTAAAAGCGTGGCATTATAAACAGGCTACCAGAATAAAACTGCACTCACAACTGCAAATGATCAAAATGATTTGTACAGAGATTTGTGTAGAGCTTCAAAGCAGCTCTACAGAGAGTTACATTACATCTAGAACGACTTACTAACTACACAGACCAATATCACATCTTCTCCTGATAACGCCGAAAAGATCGTACATTTGATCGTACAGATAAGAGCAATACATCAATCGAATCTGTAAAGGGTCTACTTTTATTTTTATACACTCATAATAACAACAAAACGCTGTGCTTTTGTAGAATAAAGAAAATAAACAGGGTGCGTTCTCTGCCATCTCTGTCTCTGTCACCTCTCTTCACAGAGACTCTCTCTTATTTCAGTGACTTAAAAAATTACGTTTTTCACAAACCACGCATAAACATTGTTTTCTCAAAAACACAAACATGTACTTTCATGCTGCTCACATATTATTGTAGCCCAGTTTGTGCTGAATACAGTGTTATCAGACTTTAGCCATTAATATGTTTTTAAGATACTGAAAAAAACACAACTGTCAGCATGTCAAAACTTCTCCAGGGCCCCAAAACCCCCTCAGACCCCAGAGGGTTAACTGACTTGATGCTATACTCTGCTTAAAAAGTGTTCCTTTCATTTTTTTGAGCAGTATATAAGAAAAATGCAACTTCAAATGTCATCAGATTCCTAACCTAAAAGCAATGAAATCAAACACATTATTAAATCCAAATGCTCTATATATATGTTCACACACACACACACACACACACACACACACACACACACACACACACACACACGCACAGATGTGTTACTTGAGATTCACGGTGACTGAAGTATGATGGCGGTACTTCCCATGTTCCCTTTCATTAACATCTACATAACTCAGTGATGTTCAGTCATTCTTAACAACAGCACTCTCTATTAAAGATGATTCATGAACACACATGGCATTAGTCACGTGTCCTGTCATCAGTTATTTTCTGATGCTGTAACCTCACACGAGTGTAATATACTCTTGTACCTTGAGCCGAGACGAGATTGCATGTGCTGGGATTTCTTCCAAAAGAAAGGTCACAGTCTTCTTGCCCCATCTGTGTGGTTAGTTTTGACCACTAAACACTCATATTTACTCACATAGTGAAGTGTCACTGTGCAGGACATGAACTACAGTTCTGCTCCTAAATTCTGCCACACTGTCCTTATAGTATTCAACCACTCCTAATGAACTAGTGCTCCTAACAGTTCACAAATAAACTTCTGTGTGTGTGTGTGTGTGTGTGTGTGTGTGTGTGTGTGTGCGCGCACACAAAGATCTGCACACAGATCATCTTCTGACAGAGAACTGAACGTCTGGCTGTGAAGAAGCAGCAGAAACAAGCGGTTGCGTATTCTCCTGACTACCAGGAAAAAAATGTGTTTTGTGAATTTAGTATTTTGTCATGTCATTACATTGTTTAGAGCATAAGACAAAATGTGAAAAATAACGTTTTTGAAAAATGAAATTTTATTCATGTTATGCCATGTCCTCTGTAGAAGACATCGGGACTTTAAAAAGTCCTG